CCCCAAAACCCCAAAACCCCAAAACCCCAAAACCCCAAAACCCCAAAACCCCTCTTGCGCAACTCTTTGTTGAGTTTTATATGCTTTAAGCCATAGCTTTATCATACATATCTTTGGGAACATCCACAATGAAGGCATTTCTCTTACCATCTCCATCAAAGCTTAGCATGTGGGTGTACTTGGTAGGCTCTTTCTTCATCCAGTGCCTCCATGTTATTGTGATTTTGATCTCGAATATACCCCATCCAATTCTCTTTATTTGGAAAGGCATACGATCGACTGTTACCTTCGATGGTTGGAAAGTAGGATGAAGCTTAAACTCTACTTTGGATACAAATCTCTTTGTATATTCTGGATTGAAAAATTCCACAAATGCAATCCACTCATGGTCATTTTCCATATAAGCAGTTGCTTGAATCTCTTTATGTTTGTTGCCAAAGAAGAACTTGATGCTCTTAAGGTCCCCTCTGAATAGATTATTCTCCTTAAGGAAAGCTGTGGTTTCTTTGAACTCCTCAGGCATTTTATCCCTGACTTCTTTCTGAAACTCTTTGTCAATATCAGGGATGTAGCCTTCCTCAAACCCTTCTCGGCACATAGGACATGCAAAATTGTTCCTTTCAAGAGTCTGAGCTATTCAAATATAGCAGAAGTGGTGTCCACAAGAGGTTGTCACTGGTTCTGCCATAACTGTGAAGCATACCGGACAACTGTAGTTCTCTTCGCTCGGCTCAATAGCCTAGATTCAGTTAGTTTTCACAATGAATGAACTGATTTACCTGATCTTTATCACCTTCCATTTTAATTTTTATAGAATTTGTTATTTCGGTCGCCAAAGCATAAGTATTTTCGAACGGAACAGCAGCTTGAGGAAGACATAGCTGAAATAACTCAGAATTTTTAATGAAAACTGGATATCATCTTGTCTGACTCTAATAATCCTCTTTTCACATTTTAGGGATCACAAGGCAGTCTGAAGTTCTTCATGCCTCTTTATCAGAACAAGCCTACTTACTAAAATTTCTAAAGTTCAATTTTGAATTGATCTCCAGGGGTTTTGGGGTTTTGGGGTTTTGGGG